CTACAGCAGCAACAGCAGCAGCAGCAGCAGCAGCAGCAGCAGCAGCAGCAGCAGCAGCAGCAGCAGCAGCAGCAACACAAACACCACAGCTTACCGGAAGACGAAAGACCATGGCTCGGGAGCTGATGCGACCCTGCCCCAGACCCTCCGCTGCTCTCGGCGGCGCCACCCCCTCCGCTCATGCCCAGCAACATGGCCAGGTTCTGGACGACAGCGAGTAAAGCAGGCACACGGTGGTTTGTTCGAAACCCAGAAAAGGACATACCAAAAAGCAAAAAAAAACACACACAGACGGGTTTTTTGCGCTGTTACCGTTTCTGAGTAGAGCCCGAAGAGAAATAAGCCTCCCCCATGACGCCTTCTCACGGGCCCCCAGACCATAGCCTTTTGGAGCATTTTGTGTTTTCAACCGCACTGAGACCGACGCCTTTTAATTGGTCAGCCGGCTACCGCAGTCGACGCTATTATAATGAAGACACATATGGACGGACGGAGAGATGGATAGATCACCTGCACGCTAAGGCTACCCGTCATGGAATTCGAAGGCAAAGAGTTGAGCGTCTGGGCGCGGGGAACGGGCCCACCATCCTGATCAAACCCGAAGGCAGCGTTGCCCGCGGCTGGGAGCGGTGGCTGCTGCTGTTGCTGTTGCTGGTGTAGATGCGGTTGGGTGTGACCATGGCCGAGCGCTCCCATGATCGCTGCCGGATGCTGCTGCTGCTGCTGGAGCTGCATGTGCAGGTGCTGCTGAAGCTGCAGGTGCTGCTGCTGTCGGTGCCTGTTCAGCTGCTGTTGCTGCTGGTGCTGCTGCAGCTGATCGGCGTGCTGCTTGTCCTGCTGCTGCTGCTGCCGTTGCACTGCCCCTGGCGGCAGCTCCCCTTCCTCCGCCCGACTCTGCTTTCCCTTTCTCGCCGACACCTTGCGCTTCCTAGCCCTGCCATTGGTCCCCACTGTCGTCGCTGCCACGCTCGAAGTATCGTCAGACACCGCCGCCGCCGCCGCCGCCGACCTCTTCCCACTACCCCATTTCGCCTTGCCGGTTGCTGGTGATGATGTCTCGGAGCCGGCGGCTCCGTTCGCAATAGCAGAAGCCGTGTCGACGCTCCCGCCACCACTTTCCCGCCCCGCGGTGGCCGCCGTCGCCGCCGCCGAGCTGCTCGTGTTACCGCCGCCGTCCGATAGGTCTTCTTGGTCTCCCTCGCTTATGCTCGCGGGCAGCAGGGCACCCTTACGCCTCTTGTTGGCCTTCGTCTGTAGAATATCAACGGGGGTGCGCGAGCGCGCGTGTTGGGGGGGGTATAACTGCTGTCAAGACAATGTCAATCGTCGACAACCTTCAGAATTATCCTGGGTAAGGCAACGCAAGGGGTCATAAAGTCATATATCATCCAGGACGAAGCAGCGAGGTGCGGTGACCTGCGCCGGAGACAGACAAAAGACTGCAACCCATCCTACTACGGAACTCTCAGAGACCGTCTGTTTCAACCGCTTTACAGGGGGCTCGCTGAAAGCATGCAAGCGCAATAATCGACAAACGAAAATATGTTCCGTGTTGGCGCCAGCGCGGTACGCACGCGCTCTATTCTGCGTGCGATTGTGCAGATTCAGCAACAAAAAATATCATCTACGAGTTGTCTTCGGCTTCATCGACCGAGCATTGCCACTCAATAACCAAACAATCCATTGCAAGAGCTACAGCAGAACGCTGTCGTGACTCACGGGGTTCGAGGTTGTCCTAACGCGCGCTCTCTCCTGCTGCTGCTGCTGCCGCGGCTTAGGCCGGGCCCTGACTCGAAGATTCCGCTGTCGCTTGTTGGACTGTGACGGAAGCGGACTCTCCTCCTCCTCGTGGTCCTCCTCCCCTTCCTCTTCTGCTGCTCCGGCGTGTCCGAAACCCTGCTGTAGCAATAGGGGCGTGAAGGTCAGCAGGCCAGCAGCAATTTCGATAATGTGCGAGGAATGGATAAGATCAGACGCTAAAGGAGAGTTGGTGTAGACGGTGCAATCTTTTCCTACTTTCAGAGGACCCTTGAACAACAACAGAGGTCGATTCAACCAATCGGTGGCCGGTGTTTTCTTTTCCCACCAAGCAACCCGTTCCGTCCTGCGTTGTACGAAAAAGGTGAGAGCTGCTGCCGTGTTCTCGCGCATGTTATACTCCTTTCAATCACAGCAGCACATCCTCCGCAGGAGGGGGTCCAACCCCCCCCTCCTATGTGACCCCGGTTGGGTCGTCTAGCTAGTAGAAGTGGAGGATAGGGGCCAGAGGGGCAGACGACAGAGTCCAATGATGGGAGAAAAAAAAAAAAAAACTGACCCCCACGACAAGCTTCTAAAACTGTTGCGACAACCTCTTCCAGCGTCCCAACTTGTCAGCCTTGCTCGAAGAGTGTGCATCAACCTTCAGGGAGCAAAAAAAATACTCGGGTTGACGAGAGGCTTTGCATCCACTTCCGCTGTTCAAGGGGTGCCAACAAAGGGGGCCGGTCACCTGCCGTCTGCTGCTCCCGTTAGCCCGCACCTTCGCGTCACCCCCCTCACTCTCCTCTTCCTCCTCGGACTCCTGTCCGTCGTCCCCCTCACCCTCTTGGCCCCAGGACCCGCTGTTCGGGGCGAGGAACCTCTCGACCTGGTCATTGNNNGGGGGGGGGGGGGGGGGGGGGGGGGGGGGGGGGGGGGGGGGGGGGGGGGGGCAGGACGAGCACGGGGTTTGCTCAGAGGGCCAAGCCCAAGAGTTTTGGTTTGGTTTTAGCCGCAATGCCTTCCGAAGACGCCACAATCAGCAACCAGAGGTCTGGCACCGGTCTCCTCATTGGGAGACATTGGGAGAAATCTTGGAACAGGACGACCACGACAGCGCCTCCAACGAGGGGCAGGAGAGAGGCTTGGGGGGAATGCTCGCCAGGCGCGAGGCGGGCATCACAATACGCCCGCCCGATCACCACGGCCTGAGCGCAATCGAGGTCGGCCGAATACCGCGAAATATATGCTAAGAGGACACAAGCTTGTGTATACGAGGCAGGATAAATGGACAGTACGGTACGCCGTATAGGGTGAGGGGGGGGGGGCACCACGATCGACGCCTGAACAAACAAAACTCAGCAGTCGACACAAGCGTTTCTTCGGACAGCTGGGCAGCAGTCGACGCAAACGCTACTTCGGGCGGGTGGGTGGGACCCAAGCGCTGTCCACTTCAGGGGTTGTCCATATGAGGGAGCGGACGACGCACCGTGGCCACCCCTGATGATCTTGTCGTTGGTGGTTCCCCCGCGCCGAAACCTGCAGGCGACCTCGTGTAGCTTTCACCGGGGGTTGAGAAGGAGGCACCGCGACATGATCGATACAAAAGTGGGGGGGGGGGG